TGAGTTCCAGGACAGCTGGGGCTACAGGGAGACCCTGTCTCAAAAGAAACAAAAACAAAAAAGAGTGAGAACAGGGGCTGGAGAGATGGCTCAGTGGTTAAGAGTACTGGCAGCTCTTACAGAGGACCTAGGATCAATTCCCAGCACCCACATGGTGGCTAATAACCGTTCATAACTCCAATCCCAGGCAATCCACTGCTGCCTTCTGACCTCCACAGGCATTGCACGACACAGGTGCACTTATGTACATGCAGGCAATAAGCTCATATACCTAAAATAAAAATAAAACATTTTTTAAAAAGGAAGTAACAACTGAGCTTGACCCTTGGTGTATCTGCACACACAAACACACACAGTGCTGAAAGGGTTTTTTGTTTTATTAAAGTGGAGAAATAATGGCCATATTCAATAACTCTTTCCCTTGTTTCATTATACTATAACTGCTTTCGGTGTCATTGTGTTGGGTCATCCACAGTTTCCCTTCAGATCTGCATCCTTCATACCCTCCTTTTTCAACAGGGAGCAAGAGAAGAAAGTGTCCACCTTGTTCGGCATTTCTATAAGGTACTTGGCAGCATGGGTAGAGAGCAGCATGGGATGCCTCTTACAAAATACCTGATGGTGGTGTCTAGTCCCATACACATAAAGACTGTGTCTTCTGTTTTTATTAAATTTTTATTATTTTCATGTGTGTGTGTGTATGTGTGTTGCAGAAAATTGCCATGAATTACCTATGATTTTATCATTATGTACATGTGTGATATCTGTAGATGTGCATGCTAAGAAGCCTCATGGAGACCTTCAAAGAATTACCATTAAGTTTAGTGAGACCTTGTGAAGCATCACCAAGCATTACCCTGACCTTTGGGATCTGAAAGATTTGTAGCGATTTAGCTTTCAGGGTCCAAGCGATCATCTTAAGAAACTCCATCGTGATGGTTTTGTTCGATTTTGTTTAGCTCTGACCTTAAGGCCTGTGTTTTAGTATAGTCAGGCTTCTGTAAAAAAGATGCCATCCAAGCAATAGTTCTGGAGACTAGGAAGTCCAATACTGAGATTCAGTGTCTGATAAGGGCCTCCTCTCTCATATATGGCACTGTCTCCTGTGTCCTCCTTAGTGGTAGGGACAAACAAACTCCCTAAGTCCTCTCAGAAAGGCAATAATCCCATTCATCAGGATCCACTTTGTGACCTTATGTCCTCCCAAGACCTCACCCTAGGGATGAGGTTTCAGTGTATAAATTTAGTGGAGTCTAAGACAACCCAACCTTACCCTTCTCTTGAGGCTTGTTTATCAGCCATAGTGGATTCAACCATGTGTCAAATAGTCCTAGTGATCGTTTAATCTGTTGGCCTCCATAGCAGATCTCTCAGATTTGCTGGTAGTGGTTCACCTGACTGAGGCTAAGGCAGGTGGTACTGGGAGGGGAAGATGGCAATGCTGCAATTGCTTTCTGGTACCTATCCTTACCTCAACTGCTGCTTCTTCAGAAAACTCTTCAGCCACCGCCATTACTGTCGGTTTTTATGGAGCTCAAGCCAGGCCTATACTCTAGAACTCTATCTTGCCAGGCCCAGTTAGCAGTGGTAGCAGTGGTCACTTCAGGCTGCCACACCTTGGGGAGGAAATCCCAGCTGCCCCTTAGAATACCCAAAACCATACAGTCTTAAGCAGGAACATCCCCCACCCCGAAGAAAGCAGAACCACCAGGGCTTCCCTAGCCCTCTTTGGACTACTTCCCAGTAGAACTTCTCTGTCCACTGCTTCAAAGCTTTGGAGTTGTAAACAGAAAGACACAGAAAGGGCTATTTCCTAGGAGCTGACTCCTTGTCCCTAACAGAGGTAAAGTTTCATTTGAATTTCAGTTCCCAGCCCAGACCTTTTCTCTTGCTTTTACCCTATAACATCTAAACTCTCAGTGCAGTGTCTCAGAAGCTTTTGGGCATTTGCAAGGACTATCATTTTGTTGGTGCCACTTATGCTATGAAAGAAAGTTCAAGTTCATCTGCAACTCTGACAACTGAACAAATTTTTAAAAGGTCTCTGCACTTTCCACCCTGACTTTGCATGTATAAGTGTGTGGGGGGTGGGAGGAAACACTGGTAGGACTTTCAGAGAGACAGGCTGGTTCTGATGGTTGTCAGGATGCAGTACAGTACAGGGACAACTCTAACATTGCCCTGCCCCACCAAGTGGGAGGCTCTGGGCCACACATTTTCTGTGTATTAGCTTCTTTTGCCTTAGCAATGAGTGACCCAGCACACATGGGCACCATCCTACTCTCCTACATATAACACTATTTGCCATCCCATTCCCATCCCAGTAAAACCCAGAAAGGCTTTCAGAGGTAGTGCTAGATTTTGCCCAAGGGGGCATCCTGGGCAGAGCCTTGGCCCCTATCAGCCAGACTTCAAGACTTTCCTCAAAAACAAATGGAATGAGCCACATAATTTAGTGCTAAACATTCCTAGTTATTTTCCTTTAAGAGGCACGGACCTCACATGTTTAACATGACGACTTAACCAACATTCCTCACTTTTCCAACCACTCTAGATAAGTAGCACTTAAAATATTAGCCTCGTCTACATTTTAATTATGTATAATGTTATTTTTGTCATTGTACTCTAATTAACTGATCTGACAGAACTCTAACTCAATGTGCTTTTAAAAAGGAGGAAAATGTTGAACAGTGCAATTTGATATTTGGTCTTACTTCTGAGCATGTGTGTTCGTGTTCACGTGTATATTTTACTTTCTGATGATTTACGAGAACTCATAATGAGAAACAGATGGTCTCAAAAACCGACAGCTACATTTATAATACTGTGTTTATGGAAAAAAATAGAAACAAGCTTCTCTTCCCTCCCTTCCTTTGTAGGGAGAAGAGATTTTTTTGGACATGTTTGAAGACGAGTACAGGAGCATGACAGTAAGTGCGGGGCCAGAACACACCTAGGCTGGCACATACTTGTGTGCCTGCCAAACCTACAGAGAGCTCTGTCTGCTCTGGGGCTTTTGATCAAGTGGCAAAGACTGGTAGTGAGGTAAATTTGAAATGGAGCCTTTTGATCGCCATCACCACTAACTTCAGTTTATATTCATTCCTAAGCCCCTGCAGTGTCTGCTTTCATTGCTTCCTAACCCTGTGCCCCTGGCCAGGTGGCTTACATTCTGAGCCTGGCTGTTTGCCATCTCTACAATGGGGCCCACACCTCTGAGTGCCCCCGCTGAATAAGAAATACCTGCAGCAGGCCTCATGCAAAGCCCATGAGCAAAACTGTATGTCCCCCACCTCCCCTGTCTCAGGGAGTTTCCTGAGTCTTGCTTGTTTTACTCCAGTGTTTATGGCATGTCCTGCTGCACAATGTTTGACATTCTCCAGAAATACTAAGGAACACACCCTGAGCCCTGCAGCCCCTAAGAAATTGGCCTCTGAGCCTACAGAAGTGGGATAGGCCTGACTGCTGCTCCATGCTGGTGGCTGTGCTGTCTGTGAGGTAGTCAGACTCACCTGAATCTGAATCATAGAGAGGTGACTTTATTGAGAGCTCACTGCATGCCCAGATCAAGAGAATGTTGTATATGTTAAGTCTGTTAGCCTGGCTGATGTAAAACACATCTCTCACATTAAAGGGAATAAGAGTTTATTTCAGAGCCAAATATAAGTGACCATTGTCCAGGATTCAGGTTGCCTCTAAAGAACATATTTTGATATGGAACTGGTCTCATGAAGTTGTTAAATTGTTCTTTGACTACAGACAAGTCATAAATCCAGTCACTTTTCAAATACCTTGGTGGGAACATCAGGCAGGAGGGTTACAACAAGGTTGGGAAAGTCTCTCCTGTAGGCCCCAGATGCCAATCTGATAACATTCTTAGCTTTTGGGTAGGTGGAAGCTAGTGCTGTGTTAATGCAGTCCAAAGTTTCACCTGAGAGTCACAGGGATGTGAGGTCAGACAGAGGTAAACTATTGAGTGGCTATTAAGGGGACTAAAAATAGCCCAAAATAATTTGGATGAGGACCTGCTGCATCTCAGCTCTCCACAATCAGGAGGCTCTCACCAGCCAGTCTGTAGATAGAATCTTTAATATAAGACTTACTGGATTTCCCCTGGGAATTTACAGAGACAGGAAAGTGGGAGTCAGGGGCTGAGTGATAGCCCCAAGTCTGGTCCATCTTGTTAGTAGCAGAGCCAGATCTACCTATGCTCTGCTGCTACTTTTGCTGGTCCTCTAGAATGTTCCAGTGTTGAGTGCCCACACAGTCTTTGTCTTACCCTGGTGCACACAACCTAGAGGACAGGCTATGGAGACCACAGCTTTCTGTTTTGCTGGTCTCTGCATCCCAGCATCTGCCTCTGAGTAGCACTCAATAAACAGATGATAAATTCTCTTTTTCATGGACATGACTCTCCTAAGCATGAAGTGATAGGGGAACATTTATAATGAACTTAAATGTTTAAAGTGTCAGAAAGAAAAAGGCAGGCAGCACACCTAAGTGACCCCCCCTGGCTCCCAAGCCTTTTCCCAAGACTCTTCCAGCACTGCCTGCTTGAGGCCTCCATGGAGCCTTTTGAAGGCCAGGCCTCCTTGTGCCATGTGGGCTGCCATGACTGTGCCTTGCTCCTGCTGGCCCACATAGCTCCAGTCATTCTTAGGAGGCAGTTCAGACTTTACCCTTTCAGACCATCAGCTACAGCATTCTGTGGTTATTCACCACTTTCCCTCCATTGCACACTCCCTTCCTGCAGTGTGATCCTCCACAGTGCCCTTTTTGGTTTAGAAATGTAAACTCTACATGTCATTTGTGGTTTGGGAAATCTGGGATTCCTACCCTGCAGTGTCTGCTTTTAGTGCTTTTTAACCAGGTGCCCCTGGCCAGGTGTCTTATGTTCTGAGCCTGGCTGTTTGCCATCTGTGCAGTGGGGCCCACACCTCTGAGTTGCCCCAGCTGAATGAGCAATATCCTGCAGCAGGTCTCGCAAAGTCCATGAACAAAACTGTATGTCCCCCTTTCCCTGCCTCAGAGAGTTTCCTGGGTTTTGCTTGGGTTTTGCTCCAGTGTTTATGGACAGTGCTTGACATTCTCCAGAAATACTAAGGGACACGCCCAAGCCCTGCAGCTGAAATCAGTGCTCCACTGGCCCCTAGGAAATTGGCCTCTGAGCAAGCAGAGGTGGGACAAGCCTGAGTGTTGCCCCTGTCGCCTCAGGACTTGACTCCTTTTAGGTCCCTTAGCACCTCCAGTTTATTGCTAAAAGGATAATGAAAAAAATTAAGCTGGTTATAGTGGCTCACACCTTTAATCCCAACTCTCCAGAGGCAGAAACAGGCAGATAGCTGTGAGCTCAAGGCTAGCATAGTCTACATAGTTTCAGGCCAGCCAGTGTTACATACCCTGTCCCCACAAAATAAAACAGGGATAATGAGTCCAGCAGGTTACTGCCCCCCTCCATGGCAAAGTGTGACGGGCTCACTGGGGAGGCTGTGACATGGTGGGAGCAGGGGTGAGAGCAGCCAGCAGGGCAGTGCTGAGAAGGCACTGCTAGAACACCAATGCCAAGAGTGGGAACATGGCTCTGCCACCCTGCTTTGAAATGCAGGGATTTAGAGGATGGGGCTCAGGCCTCTGAGGAACGTACTTAATATGTTCCCCGAAAGAAGGCAGGTAGCCTGTGCGGCCCCTGGCTGCAGTGAAAGGGAAAAGCTGCAACTTGGAAATGGAAAAGTCCTGTCACTCTTACCTGGCAAGCTGGAAGCATGGGCTCAGTCTGACACAGCTGACATTCATGTTGCTGGTGTAGGTGGGAGGTTTCCCTGAGACTTGGACCGTCTTTCCTAGATGAAGCCCATGAATGTGGAATATCTCATGATGGACGCCTCCATCCTCCTGCCTCCAACGGGCACACCACTGACAGGCATTGACTTCGTGAAGCGACTGCCATGTGGTGACGTGGAGAAGACCCGGAGGGTGAGTGAGCATACAACTTGCCTTCTTCTGTGCTAGAGGGAAAGGGTCCTTGGGTCCATCAGAATCCTGCCTCCAGTAGACACTTAAGTCACCTAGAGAGAACACACCACACATACCGCCACCACGTGTGGCTTTCCAAAGCCTGGTGCCCTTGGAAAATGGGATCAAGATTTTATGGCACCTCGCATCATTTAGGTTGCATTTAGACCATCTGAGCCAGGGTACATGCAGCCAAAACCCTCATTTCAGCAGGCAGAAGCCAGGAGGGCTGACTTCTGCAAACCCCCAGGGTAGTAGGGCCCAGAATACTAGCACATGTGAGGTAGGTGTGAACCTCAGCCCTGAGGTTTCGGGACCCCAGAGCCAGTGCATTAGTGAGGTGTCTGGTGGTGAGATAGTAACATGGCCAGGAGGCTGAGAGCGGGTGTGCAGAGCCAGTTCTCAGAAGCAAGAATACTCCCTTATCAGCACTTTTTTCTGAGGTGGCCGCTCTAGGAAGCAGCCTCGGCCAGGCTCTTCATGGTATTTTATCTTCATGTAAGATCTCGGTTTCTTTCTTAGAAAGTACCACTGCCTTTTCCTAGAAAATCATTCTCTGGAGACATGAGTATCAGTGGATAAATGCACAGGCTGTCCTCCAGTTCTTTGTCCTTGGGCTGGGTGTGGCCAAAGCAGGGATGGATTTCACTTTGGGATTTCAGGAAGCAGGGGTGACAGGAAGCTGCTTGTGCCTCAGACATGAGGCATTTGCGACCTCCTCTGCTCTGCTGGCAACCACGTGCCAAGGGGCTGTAGAGGAAGCAGAGGGCCTTGTGTCTTGAGGTGATGTACCTTCTCAGCCCTCCAAGCAAACCACAGACCCCACCTCACAGCCACCTTCCTTCCCTGAACACCGCAGCTTGCCAGCCAGGTACAGGGCTTTGTTGGTGGGTGGCACTGTCTGCTCTGGGCATCATGGCACCAGCCTTTTCCTGGAAGACTAGTTCTGAAAAGTGGGTATGGAGTCAACAGCTCCTCTGTCCTGGCAGCTCACCCTTAGCCTTTGATTGGCCTAAGAGCTCTCCATTGTGGCTCCAGCAAGTTCTCATGTCCAGTGTCAGGGGCTTCCTGGCCTCTGTGACAGAAGGTGCAGGGGCTGGAGCACACAGCTGCAGTCCTCGGCATACTCTGCCATCCTTCCATTCTTGGTCCTCGTGCTCTCTTCTCACTCTGTTGCAAAGTCTTTGGTCTGATAAGCCTCCCTCACCCCAGTTCTTTCCATGGATTTCCTTCTCTAACTTTACACGGCCCCAGGATGATAGGTACCATTGGTATCCCAATTTCCCAGAGAATGTGTCTGAGGCAGGAGGATGTTAAGGGTTGTCACCTGAGCTGTGGCCTCTAGAGCTGAGGCCTAGGGCTTTCTGACTCCCTGCTTGCCAATCCTCTCTACCCTTATCATATCCATTCAACTGCTCACACGTATGGAGAGACCTCAAAACATCGAACTGTCAAGGAGCCAGTCTGAAGAGCAAGCTGGGAAAAGCAGTGTGGTCCACATGCCCAGCTATCAGCATGTAACTTGGGATCCATCTCAAATCACACCTGGGCATGGAGGAAGACAGGCTCTAAATTTCTAAGCCAAGACAATAGAGAAAGTGAGATCCAGAGGGATGTGGGCATTCTGACACCTTCAGGCAGGCTGGAGCTAAGTGGAAAGTGTTAAGATCAGAGAGGTGGGGCTGGCGGGAACTAGATCATGGGGGGCTTTGGAGCCCAGTAAGGGTCTTGGCCATCATCCTTTTTTTTTTTTTTTTTTTTTTTTTT